GCTCTGTTCCGCCTGGGTATGTTGTCCTCTTGCAGGGTTTTTCTTTTGTTTTTGTTTTTTGCCTGGTGGGGATGTCTGCCTGTTTGGTCCCCATCACTGTTCTTGGGGTTTGTCTCCAGATTGTCTACTTGGTGGTCCTCCCCGCTTGGCCCCCGTGAGTGTACACGTCCCGGGTGTTCAGCTATAGCAGTTTGTTGGTAGTTTTGGGTGCCGGTTCGCAGTACCCTGCCTGGGCTTCCCTTAGCGTGTTATCAAGGCTAAGGGCCCTGGAAAACCCCACAGGGGCTACGTGGTCCCATGGATGTGACCCCTGAGTCCCCCCTCGCGTCCTGCGAGTTTGACGGTTGCTCTCTCCCTTGTCTGAGGGGGATACTCACCGACCCAGAGTAGTGCGACGTGTGCTGTCTGTACGTACTCCAGTTCACCCAAGCTACTGCGCCTGATATGCGGGTGAGGGCAGCTGAGGCGTTGCATGCTCACTTTAGGTTGCTGCAACGCGCTAGGTTGGTCGCTGCCCCGGATGCCCCAAGACTGCCTCGTTTTGGTTATAGGGACCCAGACTTGGGGGTGGGGGTCGCTTCGGCTCTGGTTCCGTCCGCCCCTCCAAGTCCTTCCCCTTCTGTTGCTCGTTCGGCCCCCCCCCCCCCCTCTTGCTGCCGGCTCCTAAACATCTGAGGGTTTCGGAGCCGGGGCTGGGTTTAGTCGGTTGTGAGACTCGGGCGGTCTCGGGGGTGTCCCCTTCTGGGGCAGTGGCGGAGGCATTCGAGCCTGGTCCTTCTGCCGAAGCTTCTGGGTCTGGCCAGTGGGCCCCCCTTGTTCCTGCTTTGTCGGCTGCTCCCACCTTTTCTTTGGGGTTGGGGGCTCAGGAAGACGGCTCGGCCCTGGGCCCTCTGGGTGAGGTTCCTGAGGTTGGGGAGGGGTTGGCTTGGGGGCCTTGGGCCCCGTTGGACCCCGCCTGGTTTTTTTTGCCCTCCGAGCGGGGCTTGGTGTTACAAGGAGAGGGATTCTCTTTCGCTCCCTTCGCGTACGAATTGGATTTGGTGTCCACCCCTCCCAGGGTTAGGTTCCGTGATCCCGAGAGTTCTTCGGTTCCGTCTTTCCAGAGGTTTCCCGCTTCCCGTGTTTCGGCTTCGAAGGTGCCTTGGTGGCTTACCTCTTGCGTGACCCGGATTATGCCTTCCTGATGGATCCTCGTTCCTTCGTGTACGGATCCCCAGGTTTGTGCTGGTTTCGTTATGAGGTTCTGGAGTCGTCCTGGTTGGCAGACTGTCCTCTCTTTTCGTTGGAGGCTTGGCACACGTTTTGTTGGTCCTGTGCGCTTGAGTGGCGAGAGGTTTCCTTGGCATTGCAGGTTTTCCTGGGGGGCGCTTTCGAGCATCTGAATGCTTGTTTGTTCGCCCCTGCCCTTCCGCGGGATGTTGATGTCATGCAGCGCCACGTGCAGGTTCCTTCCCTCTCGGCTGCCTTGATTGCGGAGGATTTGCGGACTCGTGGCCTGCTTGCTTCGGCTCTGCGTTTCTTTTCCCTCCTGGAGCTATCCTCGGATTGGCTCTAGTTGGATGTGGGAGCGCTGCCCTCGGCTGTGCGGGCGTCATTTGCTTTGTTGAAGCTCTTCGCGCCCATCCTGTGTGATGCGGTTTCCCGGTTCTATGCTTCTCGCCTTGCGTGTCGTCAGGCGGTGCTAGCTTCCTCCTTGGAGTCCGCCTGGGCCCTGGCTCTTCGTTTGTCCTCGCCCTTTTGTCCGTTGCTGTTTGCGGAGTCTGCGGTGGGGCAGTATCTGCAGGCAGCCTTGGTCAGTTGTCGGCCTATGTCGGAGTTGTTGTTGCTCCGGGGGGCTCGTGGGGGGCCTTCCCAGAAGGGTTGTGCCAGGGCTCGGGGGCCTTTTCGTCGGGGTAGGCCTTTGGTGTCAGATTCTGGGCTGGCAGCGCCTTCGGTTCTGGCTGTTGCTGGACGGAGTGGGCTCCTTCCTGTTCGCCGCCTTGGTTCTCACAAGGTGCGTCGGCCCTTTCGCGGTTCGCCCCATTGACGGGGCGATGGGGGGGCGGCTCGCCCGGTTTGCCCACGCCTGGTCCCACGATTCATGGGCTTTTCGGGTCGTTTCGCACGGCCTGTGGTGGCGTTGGGTGGCTCTTCTCCTGCGCTCTGTCGGGTGATCTCGGAGTGGGTTCGCTTGGGCGTAGTCGAAACGACGTCGTCCCTCAGGTGGGTTTCCCGCCTGTTTCCGGTTCCGAGACAGGACTGCGCAGACCTCCGGTTCATTCTGGACTTGTCCCGTCTGAACCCGTGGGTGTTGTGCCCCTCCTTTCGGATGACTGCACTGTCCCAGGTTCGTCTTCTCTTGGAGAGGGGCGCTTGGATGGTGTCCCTGGATCTCAAGGACGCGTATTGGCACGTCCCGGTTCATCCTGAGTTCAGGGACTGGCTCGGTTTTGTTGTGGGGCATCAAGGTTACCGCTTTTGTTGTCTTCCCTTTGGGTTGAATTTGGCGCCACGTGTTTTCACACGCCTCACTCGGGTCGTGGTGGCCTGCCTGCGTCTGCTAGGTGTTCGAGTGCTGGCCTATCTCGACGACTGGCTGGTTTGGGCTCCCAGCCGGTCCGTGTGTCTGCTCGCCAGGGATTTGGTTCTTTCCCAGCTCGCCAGGTTCGGGTTCTTGGTGAACTGGAGGAAGTCCCATCTGGTTCCCTCTCAGGTTCGGTCTTGGCTGGGTCTGGTTTGGGTTGCTCGGACTGCTTCCTTGTCTCTTCTTCCGGCGGCTCTCTTGCGCCTGCAGTCCCGCCTTCGCCCGTTTCTGAGGGGTTCCCGGGTCACAAGGTGGTTGCTCGAGAGTTTGTGCGGGAGCCTGAACTTTGCCATGATGGTCTACTTGCCGGGTCGGGTGTGGCTTTGTCGGCTGTTCTGGTTCCTTCAGGGCCAGCCCTTCCGCCTCTCTCGCGATCGTTGGGTTCAACCTCCGGGGGCTTTGCGTCGGTTGCTGCGTCGCCGGCTTCCTCTTCGGGTTTTTCGGGGTTCGGTGCCTTGGCGCCTTCCTGTGCCCTTGCTCGATGTGTACACGGACGCGTCGTCTCTTGGCTGGGGTTTTGTGACCAGTGCTCACCAGGCCGGCCAGGGGCGGTGGGTTCCGTCGGGCTCACAGCACAGTGCGGGAGCTCGCGGCAGTGTGGATGTCACTCCGGAGGATTAGTCGCTTACGGATCGACGATCCGGCTCCATTCGGACTGCACCCCGGTGGTTCATTGTTTGAACCGTGGGGGTTCGATGCGATCCTTGGCTCTTTGGGGCTGGTCGCTTCGGGTGACTCGTCTACTGAGTTCTCAGGGTTTGGCTCTCCTGGCGGTTCATGTTCGGGGGGTGTCCAACGTCCTGGCGGACGGCCTGTCTCGGTTCTGTCCCCTGTCCTCGGAGTGGACAATCGATGCCGACTCCTTCTGTTGGCTGTGCCGGATGTTCGGGACTCTGGACGTGGATCTCTTCGCGTCGGCGTGGTCGAGGCGTCTCCCGGTTTATGTGGCGCCCTTTCCCGACTGCGAAGCCGTCAGGGCCAACGCCTTCCGGCTGGACTGGGTGAGGTGAGATTACCTGTACCTCTTTCCCCCGGTTCCTCTGTTGCTCCAGGTCCTGACTCGCTTGGAGACTTACCAGGGTTGTGTGGTCCTTCTGGCCCCTTGGTGGCCGGCCCAGCCTTGGTTTCAGGCGCTGCTTGCTCGGTGTCCGTACCCGAGGGTCTTCCCGGGGCTCCGCCTCTTTCAGCAGATCGGGCGAAGAATGAGTCGGCTGCGTTCCGGAGGGGGCTGTGGGTTGTTGTTGCTTGGTTGGTAAGGCTGGGGGTGCATCATGTGTTGTGTCCGGTTGTGGCTCTCCGCCGTTATTTGCGCGCCACGGCTTCTGTTGCCGGGGATGCACTCTGGGTTGATCAGGTTTCCCTTCTTCCTTGTTCCCGGGCTCGGGTCTCTCAGGTTGTCCACAGGGTTATTAAGTGTAGCCAGCCTGTGGTTTTTCCCCGGGCCCACGACGTTCGTAAATTTGCTGCTTTGGCGGCTGTCTTTGGCAACATGTCTTGGGTGGACATTCGGGCTCGGGGTTTTTGGAGATCGAACAGGGTCCTGTCCGCTCGCTACCTGGTGAATGTTCCTGGGCCTCGTGGGGCCTGCATTGCTTTGGGTTGACGGTTGCAGCCAGTTATCTCGCCTTCATGTTGAGGAGTGAGGATGGACCGCCGCCCGGGTAAGACCCTGTTTTTTCCTTATCTTTGGGTAGTTAGCTCCGGGGAGCCGACGGGGCTCCCCCCAGAAATCCAGCGTTGAATGTAATGAAATGCCATTTTCTGGGTGAGTCCCGGAGGCTCCCCGGCATCCCTCCCTCCCTCCGGTCGGCTGTGTTTTTCGCGTTTTTGACATCCAGCCTAAGAACTAATGGTTGGGTCGCCGACGGTGGGGACTGGGGCTCCCCCCTTCCCCCTCCTGAGGAGGGGGGGTTGCGCAGACTTCGGCGTGGCGACATGATAACGTCATGAGGGCTAATTTTCGTTTGGGGAGTTCTGTCCACCTGTTCAGTCTTCATTCGCAATAGTTTACCAGAATAGGGGTTTGTTTTGGGGCGCCTACCTTTCTGGGTGCCTGTCCCGGTCGATGGCAGACATAGAATGCTCCCAATCATAAGGGGGGTCTCTATAAGCCATTGCTCCTCGTGCCTCTCTAGAGGGGGCCAGGTTCTGGCTCGTGGTCCCCGGTAGGCAAGAACTCCATGCATTGACTGATGCCAGAAAGTTATACATATCCATTCAGCCTGGATAGCTCTGGGGAGCCTCCGGGACTCACCTAGAAAATGGCGTTTCATTACATTCAACGCTGGATTTTTCTCAAAATTTTAATGTGTCTGGTTTATAGCAATGAATTGTTTTTCCTCCTTTTTAGGAATGAAAACATAGCTATACTAATTATCAGTTTCATTATTCAGGAACTAAGCATGCATTAGTCAAGATGTTTTTGTGGTCTTTGCAGAAATGGATACGAACAGAAGGTGATCGACTAATAAAGGCTGATGGCCTCAACCTGTGTGTAGACAGTGCAAAGGAGAGAGCAGTTGGATTAGTAGTAGAGAACTGTGATAAGACAATAACAACTCAACGATGGTCTTTCATTGTAAATAAATCCTAATATTAAAGGTAAGCAATTAATGTTTGTAATGTACAATTTAATTATTAGAGTTTTGCATTAATAACTTCAAAGGATTTCTTAACAAAATAGTTAAATCTATACTATAAGTGAGAATGTCTGTCTGTCTGTCTGTCTGTCTGTCTTTCTAATGAAAGTTGGAGGCCAAACACCTTAGGTTTGCTTTACCCAACTTTGCAGGGAAAATTATCAGAGGTACAGGATGAACATAGGCTGGTTGTGATCAGGCCAAGTTAAATACTGTAAAAAATATCCTGTAACCCAACCTAACCTGCCCCCCCCCCATGCAATTTTTATGAAGTCTGAAATAAAATTACAGATGTGTTTTCCATAGAGTTTACTGTACATGTTCATAAACTACTGAACAGCAATGACATGAATTCATTCAGGTTACAGTGAGCAGGGAAGTTGGTTACAGTGATGAAAATAATGAGCAGTGATGATGGGTATTGTGATGGTAGTGCTATAATGATAGTGCAAAAGCTGGGTAGAGCTTGGAGGTGGACTTACTAGCCGCCATGGCAACGGATGGTGGTGCGCACAGTGTCTCTCCCATTGACATTCCCGATTCCTTTGAGGGTTTTCAGGACCCATTGTAACTTGACAGGCATTCCGATCATGTCGTTCTCCTAGTCTTGGAGGGGGATCCAGAGGGTGTTTTCCTGGACAGTAATCATAATAGTAAGGCTAATAGATTGAAGGCGAAACGTCGCCAATGTCCTGAGGTACCTTGTGACCCTCTGTGGCCTGTTTCCACGCCCTCCAATCACTCAAAGGAGGACGAGTTCTCCTGGCCTACAAACGTTCATCATTGCCTTTGATGCCGATATGCCCGTTGATCGTAGTGTTTTTGAAAATAGCAGAACACAAAGTCTCCTTTATCATGCCATTCCCAAGTTTTTATAGATCAAAGTGCACAATATCAGACTAAATAAACGCAGGAACTTGATTGTGGTGGACCACAATCACTCCGAGGACCTGGAGCTTTCGGATGTTACTGACATTTGTGGTTACAAAGTCCGTTGTTATAAATCTCTGGGCGACCGTTTGGTACGATATGTGATCCGGCATGTTGTTGACATTAGTGTGGATGACATCAAGGCGCAGCTGCAGGATGCTGACATTCCAATCTTCAGTGTCAGGCAGTTTCTATGTAGGACTAATGGCGAACTGTGTGATACCGGCACTGCCCTCCTTACTTTTTTTGACTCCTTTTTTCCTGATCGGGTTTGAATTAATGGCTTCTTCCATAAATTGGAGGTGTACGTCCCCTGTCCCACTCAATGCTTTCGTTGTAAAGGTTTTCACCATACCTCCCAAGGCTGCACCAACGACGTCAAATGTTGCAAATGGTCTGATTCCCATTATACTCATGCCTGTGTGTCCAGTATGCTCTGCTGCCCCAACTGTGGTGGTGATCATGCCATCACATTCAAGCAATGTCCTTCCTACGTAGCGGCACTCACTAAGACTCTCCCCGCTGTAACCCTGCCTTCCAGTCGTGCTTTGCTTCGTCCTGACCCGGTCCCTCTTCACCCCCTGCTTCCCACTCTGCCGCCGCCTTTACCTGTGCCTGACCTGTCCGTCCATGACATTCCTCTCACCCCTGCGACCTCTTCTCTCCCACACACCGTACAACTGAGTCCTGATCTTGTTGACATTATTGTCACTCGCGTTGTGGATGCCCTCGAGAAGGTGCTGGTCCGACTCCTCACTGAACTCTTTCCACAGTTTGTCCTCCCCGTTCCTGAGGCTGACCCGACGCATCCCTCCTCGGCTTCTCCTATGGTTGACGTCCAACCTACCACAGCTGCCTCTGCTATCTCCAGTGCATTTTAAATGATGCTAGACAACACCCTTCAGAACTCATTGGCGTGCCTTCCCCTGTGTCTCTGCCTAGGCTGCCTTGCCACAATTTTCTACCCCCCGGTACTAAGAAGGAGCAATCCTCTGTCGTCCCAACTTCCAAACGCCCTGCCGTCTTGCCTGATGGGCCCCATAAACCACACTCTCCCACGACTTGTCCTTGCACCTCTCTTAGGTCTTCCTCCTGTCCTGCTGGCACTTCTAAGAACTGATACGTTTGCGTCCCAGCCGTAAGGCTCATGATTTTGTCTATGTACCTTGCCCTGTCCTAACCTCACCTGTCCCATCCTGGCTTCCTCAGACCTAATACACATTCACCCCTTGTACCTTCCTCTGCTTATACCTCCCTTACTTTCTCCTGTCTGCTTTGCACCTGCCTCCTACACATCCTTCGCCTCCCACCCTCCGTCTCTTGCCTACATCCTTCGCTTTCTTTATTGCAGCGATACTTTGCATTCGCCTTCTGTTATCCTCATTATTCCCGTGTTGCGTTCCTTTCCTCTTGTTTGTTTCTTTTGCCTTTTTTCTCGCTTACGTGGATCGCTTTGTTATCTTCCCGCCTCTGTCACATCGTGACCGTTGATATGCCGCTGTAGCATAAGCTTCTTTCTACATTACCACTTGTGCAGTCATCGGGAGGATATACCTTCATGCAAACTGCACATATTGCGATGAAGAAGTACTAATGATGGTACATAGTGAAGATGTAAGATCAGGGGAGAGGAGGGGACATGGGGAAGATGGATGATGAGGAGAGATGGAGGAGAGGTGGGTCAATGGGGGAAAGAGGGGGTGAAGAGGGAAGAGGGGGTGAAATAGGGAAAGAGGAGGAGAAAGGGGCTGAAATGGGGGATGGGGAAGAGGAGGGGAGAGGGGGTGAAAGGGGAGGAAGGAGGAGGGGAGGGGGAAGAAGGAGGGAGAGAGGGGAAGAGAGAGAAGGGAGAGGGATAGGAAGGTGGAGTGAGAAGAAGGGAAAGGAGGGGGAAAAGACAGACACAAACCCTGGCACTGCCAGATACATCTCTCTATATAAGATATGAATAGAGATGTCTGTTCAGTGTTGGAGGCAAGATGTGAAGAAGCAGGGAAGAAGGGGAATGAGAAGGGAAGAAAAGAGGGGAGGGGATAGGGAGATGGGGTGAGGGGTGAGGAGGAGGAGGAGGAGTTGAGGGAGATGGGAGGGAAAAGGGAATGAAGGGGAAGATAGGGAAGGAGTAAGAAAAGAGATGAAGATGGGTAAAGGGGGTGGAGGGAGGGAAGTGGGGGTGATGTGGGGAGAGGGGGGAAAGAAGAGGGAGAATGGGGGTGAGGGGAGAGGGGGGAAAGAAGAGGGAGAATGGGGGTGAGGGGAGAGAGAGACCATCCTGGGCAGCACCAGTTAATCCCCCTTCCCCTTAGGAGTATGACATACAAAGTGTACTGTATATGATAATAGGATCTGTTGCACATGTGTGTAAGGGATTTTTTGTGTAAATACGGAATCCTTTAGTCTTCACTTGTACACTCTCTAGCAATTGTAAGATAGAATGGAGAGCTCAAGAGGACATGTGTGACAGTTCAGTACTGGTCACAGAGTAGGCTCACTTGCTAGCTATAGCCATGCACGTTTGTAAACCATCCTGGAGTCCAGTGGAAGGCGGATGTTCCCTACATCATTCCATACTTTACACATATTCTACAGCTAATATTGACCCCCAGAAACTCACATAGACTCCCTCCAGGAGGCAGGGGGCAGACTCACCAGGAGGCAGCTAAGTCCATGGAGACTAAATATGTTAAAAAACATCGGCCTAAACCAACCCCATATAACCCAAATCACTGGAAAAAGAAATAAAAACATTGTTGTTTTCACCACTGAATCAGTGCATGCTCACTCAAAATTCCAACCCCATATTATTTTAGAGTGTGTAGCACTACAAGAATTTGAGAGCTTGTCCAACAGCAAATTTACAAATATGCAGAAGAGGAGGCATAAAAATACACCTTTGAACAAGCAGACCATAAGACTAGGGAGGAGCTTTTGAGAAGAATTACCATCGCCCTCTTGTCTACAGGCCACAGTGGTGTGTCATCACCATGTCCAAATTCCTCCATGCAGAATCTCCTCTCCCAGCATCTACATGCAACTACAACCCCCCCCCTCCCCTTCCAATGAGTCCAAGGGTAGGCTAGATACCCAATGGCAGCAAACTACTTAACACTTTCGCACTCTCGGCGCTCAAAAAAAATCAATACCCCAGATGCTTTCGGCACTTCGCGCGCCTACGCGGTAAGACCGAAAAAGTGTACACTCTTTTGACTGTCCTGACAATAATTGAAGGCGCACGTATTTAAATTTGGTATCACTGTGTTCGCAATGAAATTGTCTATAAGAGCATACCTATAAAATGCCGCCCAAGCATAAGGAGTATCAACACCAAATAAAAAACTATGCAGATCACTCGCCGAGAGCGCCAAACAGCAACAAAATGTTTCCACTCTCTTAATGGTTGCGAAGCCTACCGTTGTCCTACATCGCTAATTTTGGTATCATTGGAATCGCAATAAAATTCTCTACACGGACATATGCATATGAATGTTTAATATAGGTAATTGCCCACCCGCAAGAGTGTGTGAAGTGGAGAGTAGTTAGCCGCGAGCGCACTGGCGAAAACACAGGGGGGAAATCATGCTTGGAAAGTTTATACGTTTCCTGACCCTACTTTTCTATGTACGTATTTCTTTTTTATACCAATGTGTTCGCAATAAAATTTTCTATAAGATGAAATGTATAACATTTGTACAAAGCATGTGTATGAGAAGCGCCAAATGTAGAACCACGTCGCTCAGTATGCGTTCGCGGCAGAAACGAACGCATTGTTTTCGTTCGTTTGATGTTTGTCATGTTTATACTTGTTGAAACATTTTATAATTTGTATGACAGTGATCGCAGTAAAATTCCCTACACAGACATATACATAACACATACAAATATTTCCCACGTGTTGGATATATCAACGGCTAAAGGGAACCCACTGCCACACGCTCGCCACACCCAGAGCCACACCCGCCAAACATACTTTGCGTTTTTTTTTTTTTACTCATAGAAGTTTATGTGATATAATATTCATTCTGGTACCAAAAAATTCGCAAATAAATTCTCTACAAAACGTATATAATCTGAGAGCATCCCCATCCATTTCGGTTAAAAAATGGAATTTATAGAAATATTTTTTCGATGGACGAGAAAAGTAGGCTGTTATGCGGAATCGTAAGAAAAAACGGCGACGAGTTATCTCTAATCTAAAGCGCGAAAGTGTTAAGGTCTTTGAATGACAAACCTAAATAATTGTTGACCTACAGTCACAAAATCAAGAATTGAAACAAACAATTGAACACCTTTAACTTGAAGTAAACACTCTTAAACTAAATATTTTACTTAAGTCCTATGAAGCCAAAAACAAACAATAGGAAGTGATCATGAATATTGAAAATCAACTCTATACATGTTCACCAAAATAAATCCCAAGATGAGCTGCACCAACAAAACATTTAGAGACTCAGTGATGATATTTGCAGCTTCATTCCCTCAAGAAACTGAAGATGAAAGCTGTGCAAACATCATGACAGGAAAACTTCAGGAAGAGCTGGGTGTCACCATCCAACAGAGTGACATTTTAGCAGCTTATAGAATAGGTAGTAAAAATTGTGAGGGGGTGTAAACAACAGGAGAATTTGTGTTAAATTAAATAGTTGTTTGAAAAAGGAGGATCTTATTGAAGTTGCTCTGGGAATCTTATTAAGCTGCTGTGGATAATTGAGGTGGCATTTACATTAACCAAAAAGAGCCAAGAATTTTTCTACGAACTGAGACAAGCTCGTTGGAACAGTGACTTGATCAACCAGTGGTTTGCTGGCCCCCGACTAAACAAAATAACAGTCACACCCACTAATAACCAATTAAGAAATGTATTTCATTAAATTGGTGAGGTTCTGCCCTGACTGCATTATGGACAGATGAGATGGACCAGTGTGGAAAGTCACATTCTTGAACAATACACTAAGTTAAAACCTTATTTTCTACATTTCTAAACTCCCTCTAATATCAATACAATTTTCTGCATTATGCTCAGCAGTCAGGTATTTCCATACATACAGCACATTCATATTTACATACATATACATACATATACAGCGTATAACTGTATATGAAATTAATTGCACAAACTAAAAAGGTACTTTCATTTCAGAAAGTAACATGAAGTGGAACAAGAATTGCACATCAGTCCATAATTGTGAAAAACAACTTATCATGTATGTATATTTTTCATCAACCATATATGTCCTCACACTTTTTTACTGTTAATTACATTATATTTCATTTCCCATTGTGAAAATAAAGGTTTAGTACTGTATATTAAAAAAAAGGTAAAGATAGTGGAAGTGACAAGTTTGTGTCTGACAGCTGAGTGATTATATGACTTGGAAAATTAATATCTGATTGTTATTTTGTGCTGTGAAGTGAATACTGTTACATCTTTAACAGTGCCATAGACTATGAACACCTTCAGCCATCGTCAAGGTATATTTGCCCAAAGTGCTGCGTTCCAACCTACGTATTGAGAACTCATGAACTTCAGTACAGTATAGTTTAAGTTTAATGGTGCTATTTGATTATTGGAATTATTAAGCTAACATCTAAGAAAGGAGCTCCTAATCATGTTTTATTTATGTCCGCTGAAAATATTGTTAGGTGAGTTTTTCTTGGTAAGAATGCAAGTGAACATTACAATATCTTTCCATTTTTAGTTATATATTTGCCTGATGTAAAAAACGGAAACTGGAATTATTTTAAAAAAACATTATTCACTACTGTAAGCTATTAAAATATTTCCTAAAATTAACAAAAAGTTATAGATTATTTTTCAGTTTGCTGCTTTTAGACATTATATCATGCCTAACATTTCAACAATTACAGTACAGTATGTGCTCACATTTGCAAATGATATTTCAACTCACTCTCATAATAAATGTATCAGAGTATGTGTATACATGGGATACAAGCATACCAATTGAATGCTTTTATGAATGATAAAAGTAATATCAATGAATGGTTTTCTGGATTAATAAATGTTCTCATAAATGGGTTAAGTTGGTTGGTATAGGTTTATATTCATAGGTATAGTAAAAGCCACACATTACATGCTTTGCTACATTGTGAGAAATGGTTGCATTGAGTTTAGAGAAGACATGTGCCAGTAAAGGTCTTTTATCTTTATTACCCAATTTGGAGAAGGTAGCCAATAGGTAAATAAAGGTCAGTTTCACACTATAGGGTGGGTAGAAAGGAAATGTTGTATAGAAAGTGCACAGGGTTAAAGGCATCAGAGATACACCTAACCTGCAAAAGTTTCTCCTGCAATGCATATTGCAATAAAACATGACAAGGAATTCATATACAACAATTTATTTTGAAAACTCCAGTACAGCCTGTAATAAAGTAGCACACAGTAAACTTGAGCTTTATTTTAACTTTAAAATGTCTTTTTCATCAATATTTAAATAATACTGTATATCTGTATAGTTAATTTATAGTTGCAAGTTTATTTTGTTAGTGTCTTGAATTGTTAAAGTTCAGTGTCATGTACATTACATTCATTCAATATATAAAAATCACAGAGACTGTACCTTACAGATACTGTACATATTGGTGATATAATTAACAAAAATGTATGTATAGCATATTTGCCTGGGTAAAGACATACTTTAGGGGGCTCTATTCTTTGTTTTAGAGTATAGAGTGTCTCAATATGATTGTTCAGAATTGTATAGACATTTACACTACTGGTACAAATATTTTAAGTGAATGTTTTTATATAATTTACTTGCCTTATGAATTAAATGTTGATGTACAGGAAGTCACAATTTGTGTGGTAGATTCATCCTACCCTGGCAACTGCATGCAAATCAAAGCCACATTAAATTGAACATTCAGTTACTTTGAAAATATAGGTATGTATTTTACATATCTACATTTTAGTTATGTTTCATCCCAATCATAACAAAGTTTAGTTATGTTTCGTCCCAATCATAAGAAAGTTTAGTTATATTTCACCCCAATCATAACAAAGTTTAGTTATGTTTCACCCCAATCATAACAAAGTTTAGTTATGTTTCACCCCAATCATAGCAAAGTTTAGTTATGTTTCACCCCAATCATAGCAAAGTTTAGTTATGTTTCACCCCAATCATAGCAAAGTTTAGTTATGTTTCACCCCAATCATAGCAAAGTTTAGTTATGTTTCACCCCAATCATAGCAAAGTTTAGTTATGTTTCACCCCAATCATAACAAAGTTTAGTTATATTTCACCCCAATCATAGCAAAGTTTAGTTATGTTTTACCCCAATCATGGCAAAACACATCATTTATGCAAAAGTAGGTATGGATGGTGTTGTCTGAATCTTTACATCTCAATTCAGTTCAATTCAATTCAGTTTTTATTCAAAATAATGTGTACACAAGGTGCATAAGAGTAATGTGCAATTGTAGGGACAGGAGTTACACAATCTATGAAGCCACACTAATGCAAAGCGTTTCGGGCAAAAGTCATAAAATAGACAAATTTTTTTTTACAAAATCTCTCTACCATCGAGCATATGCATGCTAGGGAGAAACATCCAGTACACCACTGAATCACAACCACTGTGAACATCCATCACACCACTGTATCTCAGCCACTACGTACATCCATCACACCACTGTATCTCAGCCACTATGTACATCCATCACACCTCTGTATCTCAGCCACTATGTACATCCATCACACCACTGTATCTCAGCCACTACGTACATCCATCACACCACTGAATCACAACCACTGTGAACATCCATCACACCACTGTATCTCAGCCACTACGTACATCCATCACACCACTGTATCTCAGCCACTACGTACATCCATCACACCACTGTATCTCAGCCACTACGTACATCCACCACACCACTGTATCTCAGCCACTATGTACATCCATCACACCACTGTATCTCAGCCACTATGTACATCCATCACACCACTGTATCTCAGCCACTATGTACATCCATCACACCACTGTATCTCAGCCACTACGTACATCCATCACACCACTGTATCTCAGCCACTACGTACATCCATCACACCACTGTATCTCAGCCACTACATCCATCACACCACTGTATCTCAGCCACTATGTACATCCATCACACCACTGTATCTCAGCCACTACATACATCCATCACACCACTGTTCTCAGCCACTACATACATCCATCACACCACTGTATCTCAGCCACTACGTACATCCATCACACCACTGTATCTCAGCCACTACGTACATCCATCACACCACTGTATCTCAGCCACTATGTACATCCATCACACCACTGTATCTCAGCCACTATGTACATCCATCACACCACTGTATCTCAGCCACTATTTACATCCATCACACCACTGTATCTCAGCCACTACATCCATCACACCACTGTATCTCAGCCACTATGTACATCCATCGCACCACTGTATCTCAGCCACTATGTACATCCATCGCACCACTGTATTTCAGCTACTATGTACATCCATCACACCACTGTATCTCAGCCACTATGTACATCCATCACACCACTGTATCTCAGCCACTATGTACATCCATCACACCACTGTATCTCAGCCACTTCATCCATCACACCACTGTATCTCAGCCACTATGTACATCCATCACACCACTGTATTTCAGCTACTATGTACATCCATCACACCACTGTATCTCAGCCACTATGTACATCCATCACACCACTGTATCTCAGCCACTATGTACATCCATCACACCACTGTATCTCAGCCACTATGTACATCCATCACACCACTGTATTTCAGCCACTATGTACATCCATCACACCACTGTATCTCAGCCACTATGTACATCCATCACACCACTGTATCTCAGCCACTATGTACATCCATCACACCACTGTATCTCAGCCACTATGTACATCAATCACACCACTGTATCTCAGCCACTACATCCATCATACCACTGTATCTCAGCCACTACATCCATCACACCACTGTACCTCAGCCACTATGTACATCCATCCGCCACTGTATCTCAGCCACTGCCGGCTTCCTGTCACTTGTAACATGTAGTAAATCAAGATAAAGAGAAATGAAGGAAAATATGCAGGAGTGAGGTGGAAGGGTGAAGAGTGAGGAAGAGTAAGCAGGTGAAAGGGAAAGTGTAGAACGAGAGAGAAAATGGGATTCAGGGTAAACCTAGAGAGGGACAGAGGAGCTAGAGGAAGATGAGTAGAAAGAGTTAGAATGAAGGACTAGCATGATTTACCTGATTTACCAGATTTACCAGAGGGCTATTAACCCGAGTGGCTTCAATGAGGACAGGAAGCCGATGGCTTGTCGAAGGTCCCCCCATTTGCCTTGATCTTTTCCAGGTAGATTTTAAAACTTAACACGGTTTTGGCATTTACAGCTTTGACGGGTAGGCAGTTCTCTGGGTTTATAACTTTGTCGGTGAAAAAAACATCTCCTATTCTCAGTCCTACAGTGTGCCTTGTTGAGCTTGAAACCATTGTTCCTTGTTTGTGTTACATCTTACCTTTTAAAAAAGTAGTCTGGATTAACATCCTCTAACTTGTTCAGTTTTTAAGATAAAGAAGTAGTAGATTAAGCAGATAAAGTAGATAAGAGGTAAATAGACAGGATAAGGGTAGAAGGAATAGAAGAGCTTCTACCATCCATTAAAGACTATTTAAAAGACAAAGAATTGAACTTGTCTCTATAATCAACAGTCAAGATAATTGATGTAAATCAGCAACAACTGCAAGCATGTGAATCATATAGTCATTTAAGAAGACTGAGTATTTAGTAAGTAAACTTCAAAGTGCTCTCCACTCTAGCTTTCACTATCACAAGTCAGGCCAAATGAAAACAAGATTTCAGGGGGAATCAGAATTAAAGATCATTGAAATGACAAAAGAGAATATTCATTTATTACATATGTTCATGGACAATTTTATTCCCGTGACTTTTTTCCTGTCAGCATTAATTCAGACTTAGTCACTACACAAGAAATTGAAAGCAAATATGGCTGACTTCACCCCCTCCCCTAGAAATTACACGAAATGTAATTTGGGAAATGGTACTTCACCGTAAAATACAAACTCACCAAGATCTCTTGAGTATAAGCTGGTTAGAGGATAATGAGGGGAGGATACAGCAGACAGACAAGACCCACCAGCCTGGGACAGGCCTGTGTAGACTCTGGCCTGCTACTGCTGAAACCTCTCTGGTGTAGCAAGGCTTCTCTCTCTCTATATATATATATATATAATTGCTCGGGTATTTAAAAGGGAACCAGGAGGTAAGCCCCGCCTACCAGGAGTTAGCCTCGGGCTATCTTCCTACCACACCTAGACAGCGGCTTGTTTGATGGAAAAGACACAGGTAACCACCTGTAATTATCAGCTTAGCAGAGAGCATGGTCACATGACATGAACCGACCTCTGCTCATCATATGAACATTAACACTTAAAAGGTGTGACTTGTAATGCCCAGGAGCTAGACAGACTCTCATCACCCAATATCCTGAGTGAATTGACTCTCCTTGTATCAGTGAAGGTTAAATAATTCCATTTATAGTGTTACACCATGAGGGCCAGCAACTCTAGTGGCCTCAACAGGGACAGGAAGCCTGCAGTTTGTCAAACATCCCTCCATTATTTCTGAGGATTTTTTCCATGTGGATTTTAAACCGAATAAAAATAAAGTTGCATAAGTACTCAGATTACCGCTTTGTGTTATTTAAATATTTCTTGCAAGGATGAGAAAAATACATAAACCCTTTACCATATACAGTTTTCTATTATTATTATTATTATTATTACATATTTCATAATCTTTTTTTATAAAATAAAGTATGTTTAAGCCCCTAAAGTAGCTTACGCTATACTTTTTTGGAGTTTTTAAAATTCTGAACTATAATTGTTATTATTTTATAAATAAGAATCAAATTGGCAGTAAAGCTTAAACATGTTGTCTGACAATTTGGATTAATTAATTTACAAAAAATTATGATAATTTCTCCCTAATAGCAATTAATATAAAAAGTCAAATGTAAATGTTTTATTTAGTTTTACAGTAAAAATATTAGTTTGAAGTTAGCTTACAGTGGAATAATTGGAATAACTTGGTATTTGGATAATTTTGACTCTACTTCTGTAAATTATATTGAATTAATCATACATGATTGCAGTCACACTTAATCATACACTTTACATAAAAGGTTCATATTGTGCTGTATTTTCTTTATTTTGAACTTTTCTCTCTGTGATAATCAATGCGATAATATATTTGTACAAAATTCCACAAATATATTTGAATTACAATTACTCAACAAGAAAATGCAAAGTAGATTCTCTTTGTACTTTTATTGCCTACATTTACTAGTAGTCTGTTGTACATATTATTTACCTATTATTCAGGAAAAATAATAAAGTTAAACAATAACTTTATTTTAGTATGCAATATTTGCTGAAATAACATACTTCCCTATACTGTACTGTAGTTCAAAATCTCGTTCTAATATCCGAGAGAGTATTTAAGCAGAGAAATGGCTGTAAGGCACACACAATGGTATATGTGTGTGACCAAGTAGGAAAACATTTATATTATTTGATCTCTAATATCATCCGATCAGTTTCCATAAAGATTAAGGTATAAAAAATTAGATATGTGTTGTAATCTAGTCTAACAGTATGGTTGTTAAATATGTAGGGGAAAAATTTGTATCTTCCAAGTTTGATGATGGCATTATTTTTTAAGGATATTTTAGATAAGAAAATGTATATCAGTACTGTATGATAATTTATTAAAATGGTTATTATTTTTTTAAGTAGTGTATCATAACAAATACTGTATTGTATCAAGCAGTCACTCCTATTATAAAATGCTTAAAGACACTCCTAGAAATAGTTTAATTTTGTAGCCTGTATACCACATTTGTGTAAGTGAACAATGATAAATTGTATGATGTACAGCACTCCATTATTATATAAATAGTATTGAGTAAAATGAAACCCCTTTCTGAGGAAGGCCCCTCAATAAACTCTCTTACCCTAGAGTCCTGGAACTGATTAATGTGCTGACACACCACTAGACTCAGTAATTCTCATCACCAGTAGGTGATAAGAATATTCCAGACATCCTTGTGCACAGGAATATTAGCAGATATGTGGAAAAAGTTAGACATAGTACCAATCTATAAAAATGGTAGTCGAGAGGAACCTCTAAATTATAGACCTGTATTATTAACAAGCATGGTAGTCAAAACTCTAGAAACAATAGTTAAAGCCAAATGAATTGAACACCTGGAGAGTAATGACATAATAACAGGCAAACAGTATTGTTTTCAGGAAGATTCTGTGTAACAAATCTACTTAGTTTTTATGATAGAGCCACAGAGGTAATAAAGGAAAGAGGTGGTTGACTGTGTCTATCTGGACCTAACAATGCTGGAGGAGTGACCGGGAGACTTCTGACATTGATGAAAAACTTTCTAATTGACAGATAGATGAGGGCAAAAATCAAAGACAATGTATCTGACTGGAGGAGTGTTACTAGTGGAGTACCACAGGGTTCAGTTCTTGCACTAGTTATGTTCATCTTCTACATAAACGATTTATCAGAAGGAATACAGAATTATTTGAACATGTTTGTGGATGATGCTAAGATACTGGGGAAGATAGGAGGCGGAGACGATTGTAATGCCCTTCAAATTGATCTAGATAAAATAAATGCTTGGAGTGTAAAGTGGCAAATGGAATTTAATGTGAATAAATGCCATGTTATGGAATGTGGATTCGGAGAAAACAGACCACACACAACTTACAAATTATGTGGAATGGAATTACAGAACTCTAATAAAGAACGAGACCTAGGGGTGGTTTTGGATAGTAAGTTGTCACCAGAGGAACACATAAAGAACATTGTGGAAGGAGCGTATGCATCACTTTCCAACTTCAGACTTGCTTCTAATTACTGTATATGGATGGTTAAATACTAAAGAAACTGTTCATGACTTTTGTGAGACCAAAACTGGAATATGCAGCAGTTGTATGGTGCCCAAATCTCAAGAAGCACATAAAGAAACTGGAAAAAGTGAATTTTCTTACATTTCTTTGGCAGCTTTGTTTAGTTACCTTAAATCTATCACCTCTTTTTCTTAAAGTTCCAGGTCTTAGGGAATTCTTCCTTATCAATATTGTTGATTCCTGTTACTATTTTGTATGCAATGATCATATCACCTCTTTTTTTTCTATATTCTAGTTTGGCATATTTAATGCCTCTAACCTCTCCATGTAGCTTTTGTCTTTCAGTTCTGGAAGCCATTTAGTTGCATGTCTTTGCATTGTTTCAATTTGTTGATGTACTTTTCCAATTTGATGATGATGTGTTGATATGGGCACCATACTTATTTATTAGGATGGGACGGAAATGGTTGTGTACATTTCATTTAACCTAATGCTGCTGTTCACTTAGCAGTAAATAGGTACCCAGGAGTTAGTCAACTGTTGTGGAGTTGTATCCTGGAAAAGGTCAGTAGTTTGACTTTGGGCGGCCTCAATATAAAACATAAAGTATATATACACACGGGCTGCCTGTCCCCAACAAAACAAAATGAATGATAAAACAATTTCCAAAGTTACTTGCCCTCATGGGGTTGAGAATGACTCCGAGCCTGGTAGTATGTCAGTGCACAAGTCAGTTCCAATACTATAGGGTAAAGCCAGTTTCTGAGAGAGGCATTACCCAAAAAGATTAGCTTATAAAGTGGCTTTGTTTTCTCTAGATTCTAGTTACAATTTTTTTCTACAAAATGCATTATGTTATAAAATATTGAGAGAGAATATCTCTCTCGCCCCACAGTTTGGGTGAGGCAGATTGTAGTAGACATTGATACAAAATTTCAAGAGACTGGTTATGAAAATATATATCACAGTGTACAGAAGATGATTCATGAATTGGCTAACAATAAAATAACTCAGTTTAGATTATTGTTTATCCAAAAAGAGCCAAATGCTTATCTTAGAAAATA